ATATGAGTATGGACACTCCTGCTTGTTTCCGAAGTCTATATGAGTGATATGATTTTTCTCAACCTTTCACCTTCAGCCTATGTTTGTCTTTTCCTATCAAACGGGTCTCCTGTAGGCAGCATATTGTTGGGTCTTGTTTTGTGATCCATTCTACTAGCCTGTGTCTCTTAATTGGTGAGTTTAAGCCATTAACATTTAGGGTTATTATTTGAGATATGGATTGTTCTTCCAGCCATATTTGTTTATTTCTGTTACTAAACATGGTTTGTTTTCCTCTTTGATTATTCCCCCCCCCCTTTACTGTCCTACCTCCCACTGTTGGTTTTCATTGTTATTTTCCATTTCCTCTTCCTGTAATGTTTTGGAGAGGATGTTTTGGAGAGATGGTTTTCTAGCTGCAAATTCTTTAAACTTTTGTTTATCGTGGAAGGTTTTAATTTCATCTTCCATCCTGAAGCTTAATTTCGCTGGATACACAATTCTTGGTTGGAACCCATTTTCTTTCAGTGTTTGAAATCTATTTGTTTTCCTCTTTGATTATTTTCCCCCCCTTTACTGTCCTACCTCCCACTGTTGGTTTTCATTGTTATTTTCCATTTCCTCTTCCTGTAATGTTTTGCCAAGGATATTTTGAAGAGATGGTTTTCTAGCTGCAAATTCTTTTAACTTTTGTTTATCGTGGAAGGTTTTAATTTCATCTTCCATCCTGAAGCTTAATTTCGCTGGATACACAATTCTTGGTTGGAACCCATTTTCTTTCAGTGTTTGAAATATGTTATTCCAGGATCTTCTAGCTTTCAGAGTCTGTGTTGAAAGATCAGCTGTTATCCTGATTGGCTTACCCCTAAATGTAATCTGCTTCCTTTCTCTTGTAGCTTTTAAAATTCTCTCCTTATTCTGTATGTTGGGCATCTTCATTATAATGTGCCTAGGTGTGGATCTCTTATGATTTTGCACATTCGGCGACCTGTAGGCTTCTAGGATTTGGGATTCTGTCTCATTCTTCAAGTCTGGGAAGTTTTCTCGTATTATTTCATTGAATAGACTGCTCATTCCTTTGGTTTGGAGCTCTGTACCTTCCTGTATCCCAATGACTCTTAAGTTTGGTCTCTTAATGTTATCCCATATTTCTTGGATGTTCTGCTCATGGTTTCTTAACAGTCTTGCTGAGCTGTCTATGTTTTTTTCCAGTTGATATACTTTGTCTTCATTGTCTGATGTTCTATCTTCTAAGTGTTCTACTCTGCTGGTAGTATTCTCCATTGAGTTTTTAAGTTGGTTTATTGCTTCCTGCATTTCTAGGATTTCTGTCTGTTTGTTTTTTATAACCTCTATCTCCCTGTATAGTTGATCCTTTGCTTCCTGGATTTGTTTGCGTAATTCATTGTCGAAGTGATCTTTCATTGTCTGATTTTGCTGTCTAATGTCTTCCTTGATACTCCAGATCATCTGAAGCATGTATATCCTGAATTCTTTATCTGACATTCCATCTGTTGCAGCTGTTACCTCTTCTAAAGTTGCGTTGACCTGCATTGCTTGTGGTCCTTTCTTTCCTTGTCTTTTCATACTGCTTGCGTATCTTTCCTGCAGGTGCGGGCGGCGGCTCTGCTCTCTCCTTATTCCAATTGGGGTGTCGTGGCTACCACGCCGGCAGGTCACTGGGCCTGTTCTGGGCGCTGGTGGCGGCTCTGTTCTGCCCCTACTCCAATTGGGGTGACGAGTGTACCACACCGGCAGGCCACCGGGCCTGATCCGCCAGTCGGTTGCAGGTTTGCCTACCCTGCAGGCGCGGGCGGCGGCTCTACTCTGCCCCTACTCCAAATGGGGTGATGTGTCTGTCGTACCGGCAGGCCACTGGGCCTGTCCCGCTGGTCGGTCGCAGATCTGCCCACCTTTCGGGCATGGGTGGCGGCTCTGCTCTGCCCCTATTCCAATTGGGGTGTCGTGACTACCCCGCCTGCAGGTCGCTGGGCCTGTTCCTGGCATGGGCGGCGACTCTGCTCTGCCCCTACTCCAATTAGGGTGGTGTGTGTACCACGCCGGCAGGCTCCTGGGCCTGATCCGCCGTTCTGTCGCAGGTCTGCCTACCTTGGAGGCGTGGGCGGCGGATCTGCCGTGCCCCTCCTACCACGACACCTGTGGACCCCTGGGCCTGATCTGCAGGTTGGTCACAGGTCTGCTCACCCTGCGGGCATGGGTGGCGGTTCCGCTCCACCCCCACTCCAATTGGGGTCACGTGGCCACCACACCGGCAGGGCCTGATCCGGGCGTGGGAGAAGGATCTGCTCTGCCCCTACTCCAGTTGGGGTGACGTGTGTACCACACTGGCAGGCCACTGGGCCTGACCTGCCAGTCTGTGACAGGTCTGTTTACCTTGCAAGCGTGGGCGGCGGCTCTGCCCTGCCCCTCCTACCACGCCCATGTACCACTGGGTTGCGGGTCTGCCCACCTTGCGGGTGCGGGTGGCGGCTCCGCTTCGCTCCCTCTCCAATTGGAGTCACGCGGTCACCACGCTGGCGAGCCGCTGGGCCTGCTCCGGGCGCTGGCGGCGGCCCGGCTCCTCCCCTCTGGCTCGACGACAAATTGAGGAGACTCGGGTTTCTGTGCCTCACCCCCCCTACCAGGAGACCAACTGTTTCTGTCGCCGCTGGTATTGATGAAGTTCTCTCCTCTGCCGCTTCCTGATGACATCAGATCTCTGCCATGTTAGTATCCTATGCGAATGGCAGCATTTCGTTCCCCTTGCCGGGCAACCAAAGCAACGGGTGAGTCCTGACCGGCCCTCAGCAGGACCCGGACCGAGAAGCAGTTTCCGTGGGCTCCTAGCCCTGGACCAGGGCAGTTCCGGGAGCCGGAACTCGGCCGCTCCGTGCTCGGTGTAAGCTCCGATAAGAGTAGGCTCCAAGAAGCAGTCCCCGCGGGCTCAGTTCCGGGAGCCGGAATTCGGCCGCTTAGTTCTTGGTGTATGCTGATAGGAGCAGGGTCCAAGAAGCAGCCTCCGCAGGCTCCCCAGCCCTGGGCCAGGGCGGTTCCGGGAGCCGGAACTCGGCTGCCCCGCGCTTGGTGTTCGCTCCGATAAGATCAGGTTCTAAGAAGCCCCCAGGCACTGAACCCTAGCAATCTGTCTGCAAGCCGCAGGTGAATGGCAGCCTGAAATTACCTGTTCTATGGCTGAATGAGCTGCGGTCAGTCGAAAACAGGGATGGTGACGTCAGCTTTCCAACATGGTGGCTGCTGGCCTCCTCTGTGGTCTGACTGGTGTGGAGAACCGAGATGGACCGCTTCCTTCCCCCGTCTCAAACCCAGAATTCAGCCATGAGTACGGTGCTTGCACGGCTGGCAGAAACTGCAGCGCTATATCCCTGCGTCACTATCTCCTCGTTTCCCAGCGCGTGCTGCAGACTCTAGCCGCGGGGCGATTTGCTGAATAAGCAGTGTTATCCTCCGTGCGACAAACCTCTCGCGTTTGAGTCCCCGTAGCCGATCCTCATGCGATGGAAATCCTTCCTCCAGGTTCCGGAGAACCCCACTATTGCTGGAAATTCCTAACAAGATAGCCTTTAGCTGTCCTGACTTGTCATACTCCCACACAGTGAAGCAGCACACGGGGGCAATGCACTCCCCTCGCCGCCATCTTCCTAAATGCACTGGAAAGGACATATTTATCTAAGGACTAGGTAGGGTCTAATTTCTAGACTACAATTTTCTCCTCTATGATCAAAATGGGGTTACTGTGAAGATTTAATGAGATCATATTATAATACAGTTCTTAGTATGTAACTACCTCAACTTACTTTAAATCATAACTATAAACTTCAATTTCCTTCTTTAAGAATAAGACCACCTACTTCATGCCATTTTTATAAGGATTAAATCACTATACGTAGAGAATAAATATTATATATACAGAAGCCCTGACCTCTTATGCAAACCAGATCTCAACAGGTAGACAGAAGTGGAAAAACCATGAGTTTTGGCATTAGACATTGACATACCAGATTTCCCAATTACTTCATTGTAATATCTTTAACAAATTACTTCAGCTCTCTGATCCCAGATTCTTCTGGTAAATGGAAAGGATAATACTTTCTTTGCAGGACTGCTACTGAGTACTCTATAAATAAAAATGTTTAACACTATGCCTAGCACAAGGCAATAGTTCAATAAATGGTAAATATTACTATTATCAACAACAATCCTGGCTGTTATTTACAGTGTACTGGCCAAACCTAGTTTATAACATGATCTAATCTACCTTCACAATTTAAAGTTGTTCATTCTCTCTTATCTGAAATATTTATGTTATCAGTGGATAGGTTGAACAATGATGCATTGGTAACAGAAAAAAAAAGGCTATAGAATATATCCCCAATTTATTCAAAATGATCACTACAAACCAAGCAAGACAGAAACTGCTCAGCACATGCTACCTTATGCAGTGAGAAACACCACAAAATACAAGTTCTTCTGGTAACAGGGCATCTTTGGAAAAAAAGATACATATATATATATATCCAAAATAAGCCAATCACAAAAATATAAATCCCCACAAATTTATTTTCTTTATTTTTTGTTGTTCTTGTTTATTGTTTTGGTGGTGGGGACTGAACCCAGGTCCTTGTGCAAGATAAGTATATACTCTACCTTGTGCAAGATAAGTTATATTGTAAGTGGATAAACTTATTTTCTTAACTGCTCTTGGAGATATATTTAAAAGGTAGCTAAGACTTAAATCACATTATCATCTTTAACTTCATCAAAATAATTTCTTTTTTGGGGAAAGTGGAGGTTGAACTCAGGGGCACTCAGACCACTGAGCCACATTTCCAACCCTGTTTTGTATTTCCCAGCGACTCAGGATCTTGCTGAGTCACTTAGGGTCTTGCTAAGTTGCTAAGTCTAGCTTTGAACTCTTGACCCTCCTGCCTCAGCCTCCTGAGCCACTGGGATTACAGGCATGTGCCACCGTACCCAGCTAAAGTAATTTCCTTTTAACTCACCTAAATTCCAACAGCATTATCTTTCGGATGGCAAACCTAAAAACATAAAAATAAAAATAATTATATAATTATACGAAATTATTATTATTTCATAAACTAAGGTAAATAAAATGTTTAAATAGAAAACAAAATATTGCAGAGTTCTTAATGCAAATGGATTTTGAAATCTTTTAAAGATAAGTCATATCAGATCACAACTGTCAAAGGCTAACCCGTACAACTTGTACAAGGGCCTCACATATGTTAGGTACTCTATAACTGAGCTATACCCCTAGGTCTGTCTGAACAACTTCTTAAGCATTGACCATCATGCTTTTATTTCATGGGCATATTGATCTATGTCGCAAATTTGGAAGGCACATAGTCATTGGTCTTGACAGTGAACCTACAATATTAGAAAATACTTTGTAGAAATTACCAGATCTTTCTCTTCATTATACTGCCATTTTATAACACAAGTACTTTTGTTTTATATGAATAGCTGATACTACAGTCATGGGGTATCTCTCCAAAGGCAAGTTCAAATGCCACTAATTTAGTTTTATCCTCTTGTAATATTGGAAATAAACTACCCAGAACAGAACACTGCCACTAGATAATAGCTTCCAGCTTGAAAATTAAATGTATATGAATTATAAATTTAGTATCCCAGAAGACCATTATCCTGTCAAAATCGTATTTCACTGATTTCTGAGCTCTTAAATAGTTTCACTAAGCAAATAATGTCACAGAACTTTGCTGAGAATGAAGTGAAGATCTTTACTACAGGCAAAAATACAAAGATGGAACACTATCAAGGTATTGGCGGCTTCTACAGCCAGCTAGGCAGAAGAGTGGATGGAACACCTTGAATGACACACTCTACATCTCCAGCCTAACTAAAGTTGTACAAATAAGGCACTAGAAATCATTTCAGAAAAACTTCAAAGGTAAGTATGAAAAGTTCCAGTTGTATAACTTATCAATATTCACTGAGAGCAAGCATACAATGTACCCAACACTGTGCCACAAACTTAACATACATTCCATTAAATTCTTCCAAAGGTGGACAATTTATATACAACAAGTTAGGTCCACTAACTGTATCAATAACTGAATCATATGAGAAAAAATAGAGGAAAGGCAAAGGGAAATTCCTTTGCTGCCATAATTGTTCCTGCTTCTTTTCTTGGGATATAGTCATGCAAAATATGGGATCTGGGCTGGGATTGTGGCTCAGTGGTAGAGAACTTGCCTAGCATGTGTGAGGCACTGGGTTCAATTCTCAGCACCATATATAAATGAATAAATAAAATAAAGGTATTGTGTCCATTTATAACTAATAAAATTATATGAAAAAAACAAACTAACATGGGGTCTGGAGGGCTACAGCCTCCTGGTAATCACACAGGGAAAGCCAAAAAAATTATTTGAACACAGTGACAAGGGTACTGACATTATGAACTTCTGAACTATCTACTTCTAAGTTTATTATACAGATGATTAAAAAATAAATACTGTGAACAAAAGATGCCAGTCACAAAAGAATATACACTATGATTCTACTTATAGTTCAAAAACAGGCAAAACTATAGTTGTTGAGAGCCACAGTTTAGTCAGAATGACGCCTGGCATTTTTGCCAGAGGGAATGTTTGAAAGGTGACCCTGCTCCGGGATTAGGGTGGCTCTGGGATTAGGGCAGATCCTGCTGGGAATAGGGCGGATCCTGCTGCCTCGGGCACCCGCTACTTTGGAGTTCCCATGGGGTTCTGAGAGAATTGGCGCTTGAGAGAATTGGCACGGTGGAGGCAGGGTGTTCTCGGGAATTGTGTGTAGAGTGCCGGAAAGAGTTTGGGAATAAAAAAGAGTTGCTATTTGAACCTACAAGGCTTTGTGGCAGCTCAGTCATTTTGTGCCCAGCCAGACTGTGGCATTTGGTGGCCCGTACGGGGAACACCTGAAGCTTGGAGGTAAGTGAAATTGCTCGCCCCTGAAGGAGAGCGAAAGAATGGGTGACCATTTCAAAAAATAATGTGCTCTTGTTTTGATTTATTTTGTTTGTATTTCAAGTTGCTTGTCCCTAGAACTTTCTCAGGCAAACTGGGGAAAATGGTTGGCTCGAGGTTTGAAGTTGTTCGCCCCTGAGGAAGAGAAATTGTTAGAGGAAGGAGGTACCCCAGTAAGACCAAGAACAGTTAGGGCATATGTTGATACAATACAAAAATGTAGCCCATGGTTATTTAAAGAGGAGTTGTTGAATATATCACAATGGGACCATCATGGTATCCTGTAAAAAGATTTTTCTTCAACAAGAAAGAGATAGCTAATTTGTTTATTACACTTGTCTAAGATCTTGGTTTTTACAGACATCTGATTAATTTACAAAGCTAAAGTGTTGAAACATCAACCACTAAATATAAAATCAAGTACTCTTATTAAGTTCCATAAGGTAATATATTTAAACATGATGTATGTTTTCATAAATTGGTAAATGGAATAAAGGTTTAATATTGCTTTGTGTCTGTCTTTGCTGAAACAAGGTTACTAAGAGTTAAGATTCTATCAGGTGTAATTTATATACAAAGAGTATAACAAGTTTCAGTTGGGTTTCAATTATAGTATTATAGTACCATAAAAAAACATGAAAGTATTTCATCTTATTAAAGTGGAGTAATTTGTCTAAATTCAGAAATTTTATAAGGGTTGTTTCAAAATGTGAATTTATAAAAAGGGTTAACGGCTAGAAAAGAGATATAAAAAGATTCAAGATGTGGAAATATATTTTAATATGAAAGGTTGAAAAAAAAGAAATGTTTCTAGATGAGATAATCTTTGTGTGGTAAAGTAAAAAGTTGTAAAATGTCTAAGTAAGTTGCGAAAAGCTTTGAAAGGTTAAATTGAAGGTGGTTAAGATGCCTTCATGGCGGAGGAAAGATTGCGTCATTCGAAGCCTAGTTAATCTTAAAAGCATTACTTAAAAAAATAAAAAAAAACATGAAAATGGGAAGATAATAGGATAAAAGCAATTTGGATAAAGAAGATTAAAAATTTAAAGTGGAAAACTTTAAAGACAAAAGTTCAGAAAGGTAAAAAAAAAAAGATAGAAAGATGTAGGAAGACAAGAATTTTAAACCCACAAAATAGGAAGCAAAAAAAAAAAAAAAAAACTAGGAGGAAAAAAAGCAACTAAGGGTGAATGCACAAACCTTAGAAGAAAACTAGAAGATAGAAACAAGATAAAAAATGGTTAAAAATGTCAAATAAAGGTATTTCAGATAAAAAATACAAAAAGCTAAGATAACTATTAGAAACAGACATTCAAGATAGAAAAAGGTAGAAGAGAAAAGTTTAAAGTCAAATATTGGATAAAATAGAAGAAGAAGGAGATTATTAGTAATTTTTTTCAAAAAGCCTATCAACTTTAAATTCTGGTGGTGCAGAAATTAGAAGTCTCAGATGAGGGTGTTAAAATTTATAGACAAGAGCCAATTTAGAAAACGTTAAACTAGAAGGAAATTGGTTTAAAACCACATCAAAAAATTAAAAGGACTAAAGTAATTCTAAAAACTAAGGCAAAATGCTTTTGGAAGACTTGAATTTAAAAGGATCTTTAAATTTCCAAAGGATGCATATAGGATATTTTGGAACATCATCCCTGAAGAAAAATCAGTTAATGTTTTACTTAACAGGAATCCCATACAATCCACAGGGACAAGGCATAGTTGAAAGAGCTCATCAAACTATTAAAATGTACTTATATTCTAACAGGACAATGGAAAGGTCCTGACCCAGTGATTGTCTGCAATCGGAGGTCTGTTTGTGTGTTTCCACAGGGAGAACAGCAGCCGATTTGGATTTCAGAGAGATTAACTAAAGCGATTTCTACAAACCAAAAAGAAGATGATTTGGCTCAAATCCATAACAGCTGATATTCAGAACTCCAGTTTGGCTATTCTTACATCTGTGACAGTGATTCTCCCACACCTGGAGGCTAATGAATAATGAACACAATTAAGGCCTATTTCAAATGTAAGAAACCTTGAGGCTTACTTGTGGGAATACCTTCAGACTCATATGCAAGTTACAGGAAGAAGGATGGGATATCATAAGAAGAGTCAAACCCAGGTGGTAACCAGGATGCTTTTTTTTCCAATATCTATTTTATTATTGCCTTTTCCCACATCATGAAGTTCTATTTTATTTTTTGAGCTCATATAGACCTAGGTTAATGTTTTGCTGATTAGTTCTATTTTTTGACTGTGGAGTTTTTAAACATTGCAATGGAGATTTCACCTGTAAAAAGCTACAAGGCCTTTACTATTGTCTTATGTGTTGTATGTTATGTGTGCACACTTGTGTTTTGTGTTGTATGTCTGTATGTGCGTATGTCCATATATATGAGGAGCACTCATGAAAAAATGGATCCGAATTTTTTTTATTCACGTGATTTAAATGGTTTAATTTAAATTGGGTAAACAGCTGTTGAGGATTGTTCTAATATGTAAACAAAAAAGGAGGTCAACAGATCTGTTTGTTTACTTTCACCTTTCCTTTTCATTACATTTAATAATTCTGTTCAGGATAATGTAAATTGTTTAGAAAATTGCTTTCTTTTAGTGCCTGCTGGAATGTTACATAATTTTTTTTTTTAGCCATCATTGCCAGAATTCCTATCTTCATCCGAGTGCCGGTGAAGACAAAGATAAAACTAAACTACAGCTTCTTCAATAGCTATCACAGTAAACTGTATAAACTGATGCATCAATGAATAATAACTCAACAAGTGATGCTCAATCAAGATGATTTACTTTGGGAGGAAATGGACATATTGATGGATTCCTCTGCTTTGAACTGCTTGCAGAACTTGCCTGGACTATGTATCACTTGCATGCATTGTGAACTATCTGTTGGTGCAGCGAATTGTGGTAGTGCTGGGGTATCTTTGCTGATGGTGTCATCGGTGGTATAATTTTTCCAAAAAGAGCCATCATTTGGCTTGGTACAGTAGCATTTTGCATCCTCCTCCCTTTCTGCTTGTGATGGTCTAAAATTTGGGGGCCAACAGAGGTGAGGCAAAGAACCTCACCCCCGCACTGGCACCCAGGGCAAATTTGGGGGACAACAGAGGTGAGGCAAAGAACCTCACCCCCCCACTGATGCAAAGGCCTATCCACAAGTATGGCTGTATGCTGGTAGCCAATGACGGGTAAGATCCAATTACAATGGTACCAACCTAAGACAGGAGGCTGACGCCTTGAGGTCAGCTCATCCGATGACGGGTAAGGACCATATGTAGTACTGTACAACCTAAGACAGGCACGGTCCCTAAGCCATATGCTTGTTGTTTAATTAAACAGAAGGGGGGAGATGTTGAGAGCCACAGTTTAGTCAGAATGATACCTGGCATTTTTGCAGAGGAAATGGTTGAAAGGTGACCCTGCTCCAGGATTAGGGCGGATCCTGCTGGGAATAGGGCGGCTCCAGGATTAGGGCGGATCCTGCTGGGATTAGGGCAGATCCTGCTGCCTCGGGCACCCGCTACTTGCTACTTTGGAGTTTCCGAGGGGTTCTGAGAGAATTGGTGCACCGAGCCCGGTGGAGGCAGGGTGTTCCCGGGAAGTGTGTGTAGAGGGCCGGAGAGAGTTCGGGAATAAAAAAGAGTTGCTGTTTGAACCTACAAGGCTTTGTGGCGGCTCGGTTATTTTGTGCCCAGCCAGACTGTGGCATATACTATTCATAGGCAGAAGAACAAGCAAGGGGCTTTGGGAATATTGGCAACCTTCTATTTTGTTTTGTTTTCCTGTTGCTAAATTTTATAATAAAAGGGTTTATACATTTCAAATAAAAATTAATATACACACTGGTAAAGCAAATTGTTCTACAGGTAATTTTTTAAAGCATAAAAAGCAATTAAATAAATTCACAGTAGGATTAATAACCATACCAAAGTGTGCAAGACATTGCTAGAAAAAAATGGACTCTTGTCCTACTTAAGAACAGAGTATTGCACAAAAGCCAGAGAATCAGGAGTTAGTACAGTCCTTCCAACTACTGGGAAACATCTTGGGCAAGTTATTAAAACTTCTTGTACTAATTTCCTCATCCCCAACATCAGGATGATAATAATGTTTTAGGGTTACTGTGGGGATAAATAAGCTACTACATGCAAGGTACTTAGAAATAAGCTGGCACTGAACACATAACAATTATAACTTTTAATAGTTTACAAACTTGGATACATAAGTTTGCCAAATCTGACAATGCCAAGAATAGCAAAAATTAGTCAATTATGTAACATATACACATTAATTACATGACTGAGCAAGAAAGTCTTTTAGGAATTATCTAATTTTGAAAACCTAGAAGTGTTGTTGTTGTTGTTGTTGTTTACATTATAAGAATATTAAGAACTAATTGTTATTTCCCAGATGCATTCTGGGTAAAATGAGGTTGAGTGTAAACAATATATATCATGAGAAGTTTAATTATCATATCAAGAGAACCTTGTGGATATATACAGCCTATTTTGACAGCCTACTAATAGGTTAATAAATACATCAAGCCATTTCCCCAATATGGAAGGTGCCACATAGCTCACAAAAACAATTTGCTCAGGCACTAATCTAAAACACTGTTCATTTACATTTTAAACACATACTCCGATTTATGTGTTGATCTTAGTATTCAAAAATGTATATAAGATGAGAAAATGGCTATTAAAAGTGCCATTGTAAATCTATGCCAAGTTCCAACACTAACAGTTAAAGATAATGCAGCCAATGTGGCTTTTAAAAAAAGAAAAAAAAAACCACTGGTAGCTTTTAGTCATTTTACTACAAAAGGTCTTTCAGGAAGAAAATACTAATAGCAAGAATTTAAATGCTGGGGGAGGGGCGGGCTAGGGTTGTGACTCAGCGGTAGAGTACTTGCCTCGCACATCCAAGACCCTGGGTTCAATCCTCAGCACCACATAAAAATAAATAAGTGAAATAAAGGTATTGTGTCCAATTACAACTAAAAAATAAATATTAAAAAAAAATACTTAAATGGGAGGAAAAAAAAAACTATCCAGTGCAGTGAAAGGTGTGTTATTATAGGGGAAAAAAGCATACACACAGATATATACAAACTCTCACTCCTAGAACTTATCTACCTACTCATCTTCAAATCTCCTCAGGCAATTTTATGCACACTCATCCTCAGATGAAGTCCTGTCATATACCTGCTCAAATTCCAAATTTTTAAAGAGGATTTGTCTGATCATTCTATCTAAAATAGAAGCCCGTGTCACTATCTACACTTTAATTCACAGCACTTAATATATCCTACATTATATTTGTGTGTTCCTTCTCTGTCTCCCCATACCCTACCTCCCTCATCTGCTAGAATGTAAATTCCAAGGAGATGATGGTCTCTATGCTGTTCATTGTGGTACTTTCAGCATGGTAATGACGGCTGATACAAAGTAAGCTCAAATCAGTCTTTCCTGAGCTCTACGCCTAGACACCCAACTACTTATTCTATATTTCCATCTGCATGGCTAGAAAATTGAATTCAAGATAACCAAAATGGAACTAATGATCTTCACCCAGTCCCAACCTCAACAACAATGGCATGTCAGCAATGGCACCACTAATCACTCAGTGACTTAAACAAAAACTAAGGGGTCATTTCTCCATTTTCTTCACCCACTGCATCTAACTATCAAGTCTCTTCACTTCTATCTTTCTCAAATTGATGACTTCTCGCCTTTCTAACTTTGAATATTTTTCAGACATGATATGAAATTAGCATAATGAAATAACCAGAATCTCTGCGTTTACTCTTTCACATTTCCTCAAAAACCAAATAAACTATGGGATTTAATCCATGTAATGTTAGCCAAAAATTAAAAGGCAAAGAAATAATTTATGACTCCATTCCCTTCAGTTTCTCTGGCCACCATCTCCCAATGACCAATGCAGAGAAGGGAGGGAAAAAGTCCAAAGTTCCAATCACAGTTAGAAGCTCAGACAAGCTCCAATTTGGTCCAGCCATAATCCCAATGTACAAAAATTAAACTACTTCCTACCTTGACTGGACAATCTCCTTCTCATATATTTCTTCAATAACCTGTTACCAAAATTACAAAAATGTATTAGTATCTCAAACAACTTTTTTTAGACCCTGATAGTTTTCAACCACACAGTGATGCTCTAAATAAAATTGATACAAAATTACAAACTACCACATAGTGTTGCTGTAAATAACACAGAACATGTACATAATTAATATAAATTCTGACACATGATGAACTTTTAATAAATGTTATCAGGAGGAGCAAAAGTAATAGTTGTACTAGTAAAAAATTAAATACACACATACAACCACCCAATCTCTACTGTAAAAGACTACAACATCTTAACAGTACAGAAAGTATTTGTCAAATAAATGTTTGAAGGTGACAGAGATGGAGATTACAGATCAAGCAAGTCTTATTCAATCTAGAGTATTCTCTGTTATTGTTTTTCTTTTATCAACATTCAAACTAAATAATAAAACAAAGGGCATGAATCACTTTAAGTATCAACTTGTAATGAAGTTCTTCTGAATAGGCATACATGGCTTTATCTAGAAGTATCTAGTATGAACTAAAATGATCTGGATATGAGTTGAATTGCTAAAAAGCTTAATCTAATTAGTTTAAACTCAATCTAGTAGTCCCATCAGGATATTTTCATTATTTATGCAAAATTACTCCAAGGACTCCTGGCCCCAACAAATACAAATGTAAAAATACACAGACAAGTTATAGGAAGACAAAGTAAACCTGCTGATAATCAAAAGTAATTAACAGCTGGGCATGGTGGCGCACACCTGTAATCCCCAGTGGTTCAAGACACTGAAGCAGGAGGATGGAGAATTCAAAGCTGGCCTAAGCAATGGGCAGGTGCTAAGCAACTCAGTGAAATAAAATACAAAATAGGGCTCTAAATACAATACAAAAATAGGGCTAGGGCTGTGGCTCAGTGGTTGAGTGCTGGAGCTCAATCCCCAGTACCCTCCCCACAACCTGCAAAAAAGTAATTAACATATGCCATGTTTATAGATATTCTACTGATGAAAGGATTACCAGAACAACAAAAATACATTGATAAATTAAATATTTAAGTTCAAATAATGAAATACATTTTAAGTTAAGAGGTTCATATCACAAAGAGTTCCTAAAGCATCATAGTACAATTTTGTAACAGCAGAACTTAAAAGTTTTAGTCTTCATTACTTGTCTTTTTTTTTTTTTTTTTTTTTGGTACCAGGGATTGAACTCAAGGGCACTCAACCACTGTGCCACATCCCCAGCCCAATTTTGTATTTTATTAAAGACAGGGTCTCAATGAGTTTCTTAGCACCTCGCCATTGCTGAGGCAGGCTTTGAATTTGTGATCCTCCTGTCTCAGCCTCCTGAGCTGCTGGGATTACCTATGTGCTAGGCTATGCCCAGCCTTCATTACTTGTTTAATCATATGCAATATATCAACAACATTTACTTTATAGAAAGATTGCTTTTATTTTTGTTTGTTTTCTTATTTTTTGTTTTGCTAAGTTTTCCTTTTCTTTTTTTTGATTTTTATTTATTTTTTTTAGTCATACATGACAGTAGAATGCATTTTGATATATAATACATACATGGAATGTACATGCATCAATCATATTGTCAATTCTATTTTGCTGCCCTTCCTATCCTCCCTACTCCTCCCCTCCTCTCCCATCCTTTCTCTCTATCCAATCTAATGTGACACACTTTTTTTCTTTTACTCATTACAACATCATATATGTATTCTGTATAACAATGAGGTTCTCCTCCCATCTTCTGTGCAACTCCCCTTCTCCCTCTTTTTCCCTCCCACCTCTCTTCCCTATTAAGTGGTAGTTGTCTTCTCATGCTCTTCCTCCCTATCCCATTTTGAGTCACCCCCCTTCTATCAGAGAAGACATTTGACATTTGTTTTTTAGGGATTGGCTAACTTCACTTAGCAAAATCTGCTCTAATGCCATCCATTTGCCTGCAAATGCCATGATTTTATTATTTTTTAGTGCTGAGTAATATTCCATTGTATATAAATACCACATTTTTTAATCCATTCATCTATTGAAGGGCATCTAGGTTAGTTCCACATTCTAGCTATTGTGAATTGTGCTGCTATAAACATTGATGTGGCTGTGTCCCTGTAGTATGCTCTTCTTAGATCTTTTGGGTATAGTCCGAGAAGGGGAATAGCTGGGTCAAATGGTGGTTCCATTCCCAGTTTTCCAAGGAATCTCCATACAGCTTTCCAAATTGGCTGCACCAATTTGCAGTCCCACCAGCAATGTATGAGTGTACCTTTTTACCCCGCATCCTCGCCAGCACTTATTGTTGTTTGACTTCATAATGGCTGCCATTCTTATTGGAGTGAGATGGTATCTTAGAGTAGTTTTAATTTGCATTTTTCTGATTGCTAGAGATGGTGAGCATTTTTTCATGTATTTGTTGATTGATTGTATATCCTCTTCTGAGAAGTTTCTGTTCAAGTCCTTGGCCCATTTGTTGATTGGGTTATTTGCTTTTTTGTTGTTTAACTTTTTGAGTTCTTTGTATACTCTAGAGATTAGAGCTCTATCTAATATTTGAGGGGTAAAAATTTATTCCCAGGATATAGGCTCCCTATTCACCTCGCATATTATTTCTCTTGCTGAGAAAAAACTTTTTAGTTTGAATTCGTCCCATTTGTTGATTCTTGGTTTTAACTCTTATGCTATAGGTGTCTTATTAAGAAATTTGGGGCCTGCCCCCACGTGATGAAGATTAGGGCCAACTTTATCTTCTATTAGACGCAGAGTCTCTGGTCTGATTCCTAGCTCCTTGATCCATTTGGAGTTGACTTTGTGCATGGTGAGAGAAAGGGATTCAATTTCATTTTGTTGCATATGGATTTCCAGTTCTCCCAGCACCATTTGTTGAAGATGCTATCCTTTCTCCATTGCATGTTTTTAGCACCTTTGTCTAATATAAGGTATTTGTAATTTTGTGGATTTGTCTCTGTGTGCTCTATTTTGTACCATTGGTCTTCCAGCCTGTTTTGGTGCCAGTACCATGCTGTTTTTGTTACTATTGCTCTATAGTATAGTTTAAAATCTGGAATCACGATACCACCAATTTCACTCTTCCTGCTTAGAATTACTTTAGCTATTCTGGGTCTCTTGTTTTTCCAGATGAATTTCATGATTGCTTTTTCTATTTCTGCAAGGAATGTCATTGGGATTTTGATGGGAATTGCATTGAATCTGTAAAGTGCTTTTGGTAGTATGGCCATCTTAATAATATTAATTCTACCAATCCATGAGCAAGGTAAATCCTTCCATCTTCTAAGGTCTTCTATTTCTTTCTTCAGGGTTCTGTAGTTTTCATTGTATAGCTCTTTCACGTCTTTTGTTAAGTTGATTCCCAGGTATTTTATTCTTTTAAATAATCTATTTTAACAAGAATTAACCCTACAATTAAAAAGTTTTCCTTTCACTTATTCTAAATTGCTTAAACTGTTAAGTCCATCCCTTACTAAATACAGGTTCTTAGTCATCTTTTCTTATTTTTTCCAAATTTTTTTATTGGTGCCTTACAGTCATACATAATCATGGGATATGTTGTTACGTATTTGTACCTGCACACAATACAACAATATGATTTAGCAATACAGCAATATCACTCCCCAGCTTAGTCATGTACCTCACTAAACAATTCCCACTCCGTCTTCCATTATTACAGAACTTTATCTCAGTTTATCAGCCTAACAATAAAAAGAGAAAACAATAGACTGTATCCTAAATGAATTACCAAAAAACTTATACAAAAATTTCTGTATATTTACAAAAATATTCATTACATGGTCATTTAATCAATTTAAAATAGCCTAAGAATCTATAAACAGGAAAATGTTTAAACAAATAACATATGAATAATTTTTTTAAAGCTAAAAGTAAAATAAAAATAACAAAGGCTATCTCTGGGTACTGACTTTTATTTTCTTATGTGTAACATTTTAATTTTTTTACTTGTTCTAATTAGTTATATGTGATAGTAGAATGCATTTTGACACATCATACATAAATGGAGTATAACTTCTCATTCTTCTGGTTATAAATGATGTAGAGTTACAAAGGTCATATATGCACATAGGGTAACAGTGTCCAATTCATTCTACTATCATTCTTACTTTCATACCCCCTCCCTTCCCCTCATTCCTCTCTGTCTAGTCCAAAGTATTTCTACTCTTCCCTAGTCACCGCCATGTAACATTTTTATTTTCCAAATTTTCTAACATAAGTAATTATTAGTTTGATAATCAAAAGCTATATTTTAAGCTTTTAAAAAAATTATGGAGGGCTGGAGTTGTGGCTCAGTAGTAGAGTGCTCGCCTAGCATGCACAAGGCACTCGGTTTGATCCTCAGCACCACATAAATGTAAAATAAAGATATTGTGTCCATCTAAAATAAAACTTAAAAATAAATATTAATAAAAATACAGAAAGCTTTTGTTGAATTAACCATTAAAAAAGAGGAAAAAAAAGCATATCTACTCATAAGAAAAGTATTGCAAACCAAAAATTCTTACCTTTATGTCAAAAGGTGATTTTTTCTTGATGTGAGGAGCCCAGTATTTACATGCTAACTGTAAAAGTAAACATTATAAACAGTAAGTTCATAGATTCATATCACTTTTGAGCTAGAAGACAAAAATCATTTAAGGAAAAGCTGTTTCTTAAAGCAGTACTAGTACTGGGGGGACAGAACAACTCTAAAGGGATAATACAGATACCTGGGTATGCAGGTTAGTAGCATCCTCTACCACAACCAATGAAATGCCAGTAGCGCTGTGCACTGCAATTTGCCATTGTGATTAAAAAAAAAAAAAAAAAAATCAAAACATACCTATACCTCCCTTCAACTAGAACTAAGAAAACTATATGACTAGGTCAAAAACCAGAGTTTAATAATATAGCTTTATATAATCACTAAACACCCAGACAGACATAAAGAAAATCTTAAAAGAAAAAAAAAAAAAAACCTTTAATTTATAAGCTAGTTATTACAGAGAATATAGGAGTTGGTATGTTATATTTCAGCAGTGAGTTTCACCTGGAAATTTAAATTAATATAAATAATCTCTTCAGATACTTAGATGGATTATATAACATCAAAGAAACAACATGTTATTATTTTTTTAAAAACTAAATTACAATCTCTTAAAAAAACAGAAAACTTTGACAAGCATGAAGACTCAATATATTTATAAAAATGTGACTTTGCACAGTGTGTGGCACACTGGAGGCACCCAAATAATGTTTGATGGATAAATGCTGGATGAAAGGATGGATGGACATAAGAAGTAACACCTTACATGTTACCACTTACTTCTCTAAGGCTTTCCTCAATCCTACCTGATAACTCTAACTTCCTTCTCTTTGTTTTGTAAATAACTTCATTATAGTCTCATTTTTGCATACTGTGATCATTTGACTGCTTGATTTTCTTCCAGACTTAACCGGAACATTTAGCAAATGGAACCTACCTCTTCAATTCTATACTTTAGCACCTAATGGCCAGCATACTTACAGAGCCTCTAAAACAGTTGAGACTCTAAGGAAAAGTCTCTAAAAACAAAATTGCAACTGCCCACTTAAATGCCACTTACCCAAAGTTATCAAACATACTCCAACCTAACACTTCTGTGATATCCTCATTTCCTCCTTCTGGGCATCATACAAACTCAACCATCCTCTCCTTATACCATACCCTTAAGAAAACTGAGTCTAACTTGTTTTAATGGATTCATGAATTTACAAATGTTTTAAATCCTATCTTCTGACTGAAACTGCCTCCAAAACATAGGAATTTGATTAATAATCCAGCAAATGTTTATTAAACATTTGCCCTGTCTCCTTTCTCTGAATTTTTCCTCTTCCTTGGAGTCTAATCTGTGATCTCTCAGATACCACCACTTTCATGTACATCCTGCCTACCCCTAAACTCTCTAGACTCACATAAGAGAAAAACTTACCATTATCAACTTAATATAGCTATGACAGTACAGATTGTTCAAGATAAACCTATTGAAAGTCAAAAAGGAAAAAATACAGTAGTATAACAAAATTCAGATCTTTGAATTAAATTTTAACCTCTCAATATCATTTATTAAATAAATAATTAAAAACAGCTTCTCTGGCTAGATGCTCAGAAATTAGGAGAAAGAAGAGGAGGAGGAGGGGCTGGAGTTGTGGCTCAATGGTAGAGCGCTTGCCTAGCATGTGAGACACTGGGTTCAATCCTCAGCACCACATAAAAATAAATAAAATAAAGGTATTGTGTTCATCTACAACTAAAATAAAAATTTTAAAAAGAGGAAGAGAAGGAGGAGACAAAAGAGGAAGAGGAGGAGGGAGAAGAAGGAGAGGCAGAAGAGGACCAGGAGGAGGAGAAGTAATTGAGGCCCAAGATGTCCTCCCTATCTTGAAAACCAATTTGTCTACTTCCCTATCTATATTTCAAAGTCCATCTCAAATGGCACTTTCTCAATGAGAAGAATCTCTCTGGAAATTCTTTCCTTAGGCAAATGAAATTATTTTAAATTCTATTCTCAAGGCACTTCCCTCACATCTCTACTCTGGCATTTCTCACATTAAACTAGGACAAGTTCTTTTAAATTTCTTAAAGTCTCCATCTGAAGACTGTGAACTCCCTCAAGACAAGGATCACCTTTCTTTGAAGCCCAGAAGCACCCAAACAGTATCTGACAAACATTAGGCATTAATTTTTGCCATCATGGCCCACAATTACCAAGAATTTTCATTCCTTCCACTACATCTTAATGCCATAGTATATTTGTTCATTAAATCACTCATTCATTCAACAAATACTCACCATCACACAATGTGTGCCTAGTTAATACAAGATAGTGGAAGTATCTAGGGAATAAAACAAACCTGGTCCCTAGATTCAGTCTTCGCAATCTAATGTAGGATACCATAAAGGTTGTATGTTTATAAACAATGTTCTCTAGGTCATCTAGTCAGTCCTACACTTTTAAGTATCAGGTCAATAACTCCCGAAGTTATATTGAAGCCTATCTTACCAATATGTTTTGGACTCACATGCGCAATTGCCTTTTTTCTTTTTTTAAAAATATTTATTTAGTTGTATATGAACACACAGTATCTTTATTAATTTTTATGTAGTGCTGAGGATTGAACCCAGTACCTCACACATCGAGGCAAGCATTTTACCACTGAGCTACAGCCTAAGCCCCAGTACTTTCAACTACATGTCTAGTAGGCATCTCACACTTAATGTGGCCAGAAAAGAACTCAGATTACTCCCTCACTACACGTCCTTTCCCAGGTACCCCCAAATGTCCAAACCATTCACCCACTTGTTCAAACTCTTCTTAAATTTTTCTCCCCTAATCCACAAATTGTTATTAAGTCCTACTATCTTTAGCTTCAGAATATAACCAGTCTACTTCAATCTTAATTAGCAAGGACTCCATTTATCTAGACTACTCATTGGTATCCCTCTTACTAATTTTGCTTCCTCATCCTCACCCAATTTCCACACTTTAGGGTGATTTTTCAAAAACATTATTATCAGATTGCAATTAAAATACTACAACATTTAGAATAAAATCCAAACTTCTTACTCAGTCTCCAAACGGGGTATGATCTGGTCTCCACATATTACTCTGTTCTCTCTGGTACCATTCTCCTCTAACTTATGTTCCAGCCACCCTAAACTCCTTCACAATCACACCTTAAGGCATTTGCACTTGCTATTCCCTGGCCTGTTTCCTTGCTCTTCCTAAAACTGGCTCCTCCTTTTGCAGTCAGATGTTAACTCAAATGTTACTTTAGAAGATTTTTCTGATTGCCTTTTATATATCCCACACCAGTCACTGTCATAACACCCTAGCAAGTTTTCTTCAGAGCCCTTATCAATGTCTGAAACTACACTGTTCATTATTTGGCATTATTCTCTATAATGTGAGCTCCAGGAGAGCAGGAAACTAATAAATTACATTCATTGCAAAAACAAAAACAAAAACATGTATATGGGGGAATATAGGTATATGGGGGAATGGGGGCTCTGATGTAGTTTAAGACATCAGGAAAAGCCTCTCTAAAATAGTGTAGAAAGCTGAGAATAAATAAAGAAATATGGGATAAACTAAGGATTTTAGCCAGAGAAAACAATATCAAAATGCCAGGAAGTGAAAGATACCATGGCACATTCAAATAACTGCAGTTCAATATGGCTAAGACACAAAGAAGAAAATGAACACATAAGCACAACTCAGATTATGCAATGCTTTGAAGGATTAGTCATTATTCTAAAGGCAAGTAGAACAGTTTAAGAATTTTAAGAAGATAAGTGATATATTTGCACCTGTGTAAAAATCACTCTGAACCAGCTGGAGGGGAAAAAGAGGAAAGGCCAGGTGACAGATTAGGGTGCCCTGATTCAGGCAAAAAAAAAAAAAAAAAAAAAAAAAAAAAAATGGTGGCCTGGTTTAGGGTGACAGAGATGTAGAAAAAACAGACTTAAAAGATATTTAGAATTTAGATATGTGGAGATGAAGGGAAAGTGAGGACTCAAATGAATTTCAGGCTTCTGCTATGGAAAAATCTACTGAGATAGGGAGCACAGAAGGAAGCAGGTGGGCTTAAAACTTCTGTACTGAGCCACTTACACTCTTACCTAATTCCCAAGTGACTAATAAGGATTAGAAATGTTGGGTTTTCCTCTTCAAAGCCAACTAGGGCTAACAATGCACGAAGTAAGTAGGCTTTAAATGAATGTATTCCAACGACTGGATTACTCTCTTCATAGATGGAGCTAATTGGAGCAAGTGTCTTATCAGATTATTGTCATTCTGCTCAGGACCAAGAAAAAGCCTATGCCTCCAACTCAGTCCAGTCCTATGCTATAAAGTTTTCTTCACATTTTCAGACTGAAGTGTTCCTTCTTCTCCGAATCTACTGCTCCTGTGATAAACTCCCAAACCAGCAAAATCCACATAGTAGCTTAGTCTCCGTCTTTCCTGGACAGTGTACTCCTCGAGGCAGGGTGGCGTCTTTCACCAAGGCATTCCTCACAACTAGCAGAGACTAAGTAGAACGACTTGAATGAATGAACTGACCAATGAATGCCTTCAGGTGTTCCCAATCCAGAAGAAAATCCCACCCCTAGGTCTCGGGGTCTCGCACGTCCTTAACCCCTCACAAACCCCAAACTTGCCCGAGCTCACCTGGGTCACGAACTCCGCATTGATCTGGGACACCGTAGGGGCTACGATTTTCTTTGGCTGTGCAGGGGCCGCCATCGCCACACTCTCCTTCCACTCCGGTAGCAAAGGGCCCGGAGGGGACTCCAGTGCACCTCGTAGAAGAAGCTGCAGCACCTAGTCTCCCGATGAAGAACCCGCTGATCCGGAAATCTTCGGCCCTCAGTCCCACACGGAACCGTAGAGCGGTGCGTGCGCCGCTCCGGAAGCGAAACAAAATGGGGCGGGATTTCAATACCAGTGTTAAGTCTGAGCTAGAGAGCCAATGACTTCAACCTCCCCGGAACACGCCTCCCAGTGGGCAGCAGAGAAAAAACACCAGCGCTCAGGATTGGGGTCACAGGGAGAGGCCAGGCTGGCTGATGGTGTTGGATGGGGGTTCTTTTGAGGTTAATGAGAGGTAGGGGTCAAGGAATCGGGATTTTTTTTTCAGTCTTAAAGAAATCTGTGATGTAAAAAATACACTGGAAATCGGAGACTTTAACTTTCTTATTTTATGTAGCTATGGGTTGACATAAAATAAACTGCACTTATAGTGTGAAATTTTGACATAATTATACATCCATGAAGCCATCACTAGAATCATATAACTTCTTTAGGAAAGCATCTGTTCAGATTTTTGTTTGCAAATACAATACCCTTAAAGTTTCCTACCTACCATCCCTCTCAGGCAACCACTGATCCTCTATTACTAATTTGCTTTTTGCAAAATTTTATATAAATTAAATATTGCAGTATGTGCCTTTTTTCCTTGTTTCACTTAATAAAATGATTTTGGAATTCATCCAGTTGTTGCATGTAATTCTTTTTTATTACTGAAAAATATTTCTTTTTCCAGACGTACTACAGTTGGTTAATTTGTTAATTCTTCTATGAGCATTTGTGTATGATTTTTTTTATGGAGACATGTATTTCCTCTTAAGAATCTAGGAGTGAAATGGTTAGAAAATATCATAGGTGTATGTTTAACTTTTTAAGACTCTTCCAGCTTTCTAAATAGTTGTATACCAGGAGCATGTGAAATTTCAGTTTCTTCTCATCCTCACCAATGTTAAAATTTTTATCTATTTTAATAGGTATGTGATGTATCTCATTATGGGTTTAATTTGCATTGCCCTAATGAGTAGTACTGCTGAACATGTTTTCATGTGCTTATTTACTATTCATATAACTTCTTTAGGAAAGCATCTGTTCAGATTTTTGTTTTTTAAATTGGATTACTTGTTTTCTTATTCCTAAATTTGTATACCCCCATCACTCACAAATTTACATACAAATATTTATCTCTAGTAAACTCTCCTGGATAAATAACAGGCAGAAAACTGGTAACACTATTGCCTACAAGGAGGAAGAACGGGGAGAAAGGGGAAACAGGAGTAGGGATGGTGAATTTTATACTTTATACCCTTTTGTTACTTTTGAATTTTGTAATACATACCCTATTCAAAAGTGAACAGTGTGAAAGAAGAAACAAAATATCAGTTGGTCTGAAGATTAAACTAAATGTATAACGTAGATTCCTTTTTTCCTCTACATTCTATTGTGTAAGTTGTTAGTATAAAGAGCTAGAGATAAAAATTTGCATAACACTTTAAAAGCAACAATATTTTGAATAATTATTGACATTTTGTTTCCAAATGTAGTGTCTGACACAGTGAAACAAAATCGTTCAGCACTTTAATGATGAATATTGACACATAAATAATGTTTTGACAATCAGAAGCTGCAAGAATTGTATTTATATAATGTGTTATAGTTACAGCATATAGTTAAGCCTGCTGGAAGTATGTTAGTGAGCAATAGGCTTGAGGGTTAAAAGCTTTCAAGTCTAGGGAAAGGAAACTATCTTCATTGCTGAGCACAATGAGAAACCATTTATTGGAAATTACTTTTGGGAGAATGTTCAGTGGTATATCAGATAGGTTGGAGTAGGTCACCTGGGGATAGGAATACAAACTGGGCAACTATTGCAAATCTAAGGCTAAAGAACAGTGACTAAATTTGGTTCTGGCAATAAAAATGAAAAGGGAAAAATAAATGTGGAAAACACTAGGAAAATAAGAAGTAGTGATCCTTATCTAAGCAGTTGAAAGAACCGTGGATCATATGTAGCTTTCTTGTGATTTGTGTGAATAGTAATCCTACCTCCCTGTCAGTGGTTGGTTCAGAAATGTGCTTCTGCAGCAATTCTGTTAGATGAAAGGTGAGGTTTTTGTAGGCTTCTGAGAAAATTGTTCCTTGGTCTTGCTGTTTCCAGGTCTACTCACTTCCTACCCCACTCTACCTCTCATTATAAACAAAGCATCCTAAAACTAGGATAATAAAGGAAAATAGCCTATCATTGTGAAAGAGCAGACAGAAGAAAGCAGAATCAATTCAATGCATTCAATAGCTCTAAGGCTAACCTCATCAGTGAAATTCAAGCCATGTAAACCAATAAAGGTCCTTACTACTAAAGAAGTTTGTATCAGGAGTTTTGTCACTTGCAGCCAAAGGCATCATAACTGAATAGGGAATACATGGGGGGAAAATGTTTGAGGTAGAGGGAAAGAAACCAATGGAGAGGGGAAAACTAGATACCAGGAAAAAAGAAGGGCCTGTTAATGAAGTTCCTAACAGGGGGCAAGGAAGAAAGATGGATGAACATTTATTCTGAGAAAAATGTCAAGAAAGATTGTAGGAGTAAAAATAAAGAGATCTGTGAGTGAAGAGGAGAGAACTTAGAATACATATTGGATTGGCTTTTATATCAGCACAAGAGAAGGCAAACTCATCCTCTGAAAGTGAATAAAAGGGAAATGGATGGCACTAGAGCAGATTATGCTTAGTGAATCTAGCCAATCCCTAAAAAACAAATACCAAATGTCTTCTTTGATATAATGAGAGCAACTACGAACAGAGCAGGGAGGAAGAGCAGGAAGAAAAGATTAACATTAAACAGATACATGAGGTGGGATGGAAAGGGAGAGAAAAGGGAAATTGCATGGTAATGGAGGGAGACCCTCATTGTTATACAAAATTACATATAAGAGGTTGTGAGGGGAATGGGAAAATAAACAAGGAGAGATATGAATTACAGTGGATGGGGTAGAGAGAGAAGATGGGAGGGGAGGGAGGGGGGATGGTAGAGGATAGGAAAGGTAGCAGAATACAACAGTTACTAATAGGGCATTATGTAAAAATGTGGATGTGTAACCGATGTGATTCTGCAATCTGTATTTGGGGTAAAATTGGGAGTTCATAACCAACTTGAATCTAATGTATGAAATATGATATGTCAAGAGCTTTACAATGTTTTGAACAACCAATAAAAAAAATTTAAAAAAAAAAAAAAAGATCTAAGTCACAGATTTTAAGAGGATAGGCCTCTTGGTCCATCAGCCACATAAACACCACTTCCTTCGGAGCTGGCTTCATGCTCCTGACTCACCTAGCACCTTCCAGAGGCCATGGCTGGGCATCTGTGTCCACAATGCTTCCTGCTCCAAGACACAGACCACAAAGAGCCCAATGCCCTCCTGGTCCCCTCTTCCACTTCTGCCACTAGATTCCCAAGGTGAACTCCACAGGCCAGCCTTTTCCCCTCCATTCATGCCCATATGCCCAGTCATTTTATACCATTGTATAAATATATAAATATAATATGTGAAGACATCTTAGTTTTTTATTTTTGAAACAATTTTTAGGCTTGTTCCAGGGATCTCTGTGCTGCTTGTACTGAACTTTTTGTCAAAAAGAGAAAATTAAAAATAAATAGAAGCAAAAGTTTTGTAATTATTGTTTCATTCTCTTATTTCTTTTAGTATACCTAATATATACCTGAGGACCTACTGTTGGCCAAACCCTTTATTAAGCCCTCTAAAATATTTTTTTTAAATGCATTTCGTTGCTTTCCAGAACCATGTAATTCATCACAGTAGTTCTCAATGTGCAGTTTCATGACAGCAATAGCTAACCTGTGTAAAAACAAACTCCTGGACCCCCAACCCAAATACTAAATCAAAAACTCGGAGAGTATAGCCCAGTAATTTGTGCTTTTAATAAGGCCAATGCACACTGAAGTTTAGAACTAATGTGTAATGGGAGATCAACTGACAACAGAGTTGCTATAGTTTGGATACGGAATGTTCCCAAAGGCCCATGTGTTAAAGGCTTGGTCCTAAGCTTAGGGCTGTTGGAAGCTAGTGGAAACCTTTAAGAAATGGGGTCTATGGGAAGTTTTAGGTAATTGGGTTGTGCCCTTTTAAGGGGATTATGGGACATGGGTTTCTTGCTCTCACTCTGCATTTCTAAGTCAGCTTGGGGTGAATTTGCTTCACCATGTGTACTGCTTCACCAGAGGCCCCAACATTTTGGCAATTGACCATGGACCGTCTTTGAAATTGTGCCAAAATAAAATTTCCCTTTGTTAAAGCCAAATATATCACATATTTTGTTACAGTAATGAAAAGCCAATAAAAGAATTATGACAAATAGTAGTGGAAGCACAAGGAATAGAGTGCCTGGGTAAATCAGAAAGGCTCCTAGAGGTAGTATTTACTCAAACTTCAAAGGATCAGTAGACACCTGCCTATGTAGATACAAAATATTTATATTCCACTTAATACCACTGTCATTTCTTTACCATTATGTGCTCATTTTTTCTTAGTGCTAATAGAATTCTAGCATTTACCCCTGAAATTCTACTCTTCTAATTGGCAAGAGAAATGGCAAGATAGGGATTAACTGTTCTTTCCTTCTCTGAAGCTTCTAAAAAGCAGATACCATTCTGCATCACAAAACAGTCTCTGCAAATGTTATTCCTAACAAAGGATTTTTGTAATACTCAGACTTCAAAGACCATTGCTACTTTCTATAAATATCTGTAATTCTAACTGGTTGTTTTATGTAACATGTATGTTGAAATTTGTTTTCTGTAAGTGAGTTTTAAGCACTTGTTTTCTCCCATATTTGTGGAATGAAAGAAAAAAAGAATAAAACCTAAGTTTCTTCTTTGAACAGAGTGTGAGTTTCTGTCTAAATTAATACTTGGTAGACCAGAGGCAAAAGCAACTACTACTAGTAGTAGTCTCATCATAACATGGGAGAAACTATTTCTGTTATTTCATTAGTACAAACTGGGAGAAGGCCAAAGACAAGAACAGGTAAATGGATAGAATACCATAGGACATGCAATGGATTTAACTGAGTCTTTT